TCTCTCTGTCACCCAGGCTGGAGTTCAGTGGCATGGTCTCTCCTCACTGCAACCTCTTTCTCCTTGGGACAAGTGATCCTCTGACCTTAGCCTCCCAAGTAGCTGGGACCACAGGCATGTGCCACCATGCTTGGCTAATTTTTTCAATCCTTGGTAGAGAGGGGGTTTCACCACATTGCCCAGGCTGGTCTCAAACTCCTGAGCTCAGGCAATCCACCTGCCTCTGTCTCCCAATGTGCTGGGATTACAGGTGTGAGCCACCACTCCTGGCCAGTGTTCTTTTCTTAATATGAGAGCTTACTCCTTTTTCCTCATTCATCCTTTATATCTCTATCAGGAGTATAGAAAACTTTGTTGTTGTTGCTTTGGTACTTATTGCTATCTTGGTACTTATTATACTCTGGCACCAGAGTATAAGGTGGAGGTGTGATTGGGAGTAGTATTGGCTAAAATTTTTAGTTTTAGATTAATTTTGGCATTTTAATATCAGTCAATTAAGTATTTAACGCTGTATGCTGAGTACTATGCTAAGATTTGGAGTCTTGTGCTTAATCTGGAAATATCAAGAAAATTATACAAAAATATAGGAACTGTGTAAGTGCCCCATCTTTTACTGAAAACCTAGGCCCAGCACAGATTCTGACACACAGTAGATACTCAATAATTGTTAGTTAAATGAGCATATGTGAAAATTGTATTTTTGTGGAGGTGTCACATAAGGTGTAGTGCTTTGAATATCAGAAGATCATAGAGTAGGCTGGGTGCAGTGGCTCACGCCTATAATCCCAGCACTTTGGGAGGCCAAGTTAGGAGGATCGCCTGACGTCAGGAGTTCGAGACCAGCCTGGTCAACATGGTGAAACCCCGTCTCTACTAAAAATACAAAAATTAAGCAGGTGTGGTGGCACAGGCCTATAATCTCAGCTACTCAGGAGGCTGAGGCAGTAGAATAGCTTGAATCCAAGAGACGGAGGTTGCAGTGAGCCGAGACTGTACCACTGCACTCAAGCCTGGGCGACAGAGAGACTCTGTCTCAAAAAAAAAAAAAAAAAAAAATATATATATATATATATAGATCATGGAGTAAAATATATCAAATCAATTCACTAAATGTTTATCCTTGCTGAGTGCAGGGTTAGTTCTAGTTGTTTGGAGATACTCCTATGATTCTTTTAACTATAGACTAAGTATTGTGAATATGATGTTTGTCATTTAAGAAAATAAATACAAATCTGGGCACTGAGATTATAGTACTCACAGGCATATCTATCACTAGCAAAATGCTGATGCAAATAAGTTATATAATTCAGAGCCCGAAGATTAATCAAACTCTATATAAAGAACTATTCCTAATAGAACAGGCTGGAGTTCTATTCCCGTATTTGGGAGTAGAACACTCACAAAGTTTATGGCATCAATGTATCAAAAGACTAGTATGCCAAGAAGGCAGGAATAGGGAGGTCCAAAAAGAAAAAGAAATGATACTGGTGCCATGGATGGCTTCTGGAAGCTTAAGACTGGAGGTGAGCTTGGAGTTTATGATAAGAATAAGGGTGAGTTAGGAGTCATAAAAATAAATGTTCTCCAGGAACTGGTCATAACAGTAGGCTGAGAGGCTTGACATGGCATGACTCGTAGGTTATTTGCACATATGCCATTGGTTGTTGACTTCTCATCTGTTATCATTTTCTAAAGAATCTCATGAAAAGAAAATATAATGATGAGACGTCCATATTATAAGCTAGCATATCTTAATGGCTGTATTTGTTGTAATATAATGTGATCCACAGTGATATTTTCATAAAAATCTAAATAAATGACAAATTTATATTGTGCTAGTATTTATGAGTCTTTTGTATTCACATCACTAGAATAATATTTAAGAAAACAGGAAAAACTTTAATTTTAGCTCTAGTAATTACATATTATTTTAATCTTTCTGCTTCATTTTTTCTTCCACATCTTTGGGAATATAAAAATAACCTGGTTAAATATTCACAAATGCCTTAAAAGGAATTATGATATTTTAATGTTTAAAAAGAGGCAAAAATAATTATCAATATTATTAACTGTAGGACTTGTAGCACAGTAAATAGTTTTTCTAGTAGTAGACCAACTGTCAGACTTTGTTCTCATCTATGACATTAATGTTAAATTGTTAAATATTGTGATACCTTATTTAGAATTGTTGTGGGGTTTAAATATGATAATGCATGTCTTATAGAGTATTCAGTAACATGCCTCGGAAATAGAAGCTTCTTAACAAACGGTAACTGCTGCTGCTATCTTTAGGTGATGTTTGCTATTTATTGCAGATGGGCTCTCTTGTGGCCATTCCACTAGTTTATTCTAAAATTTATCGTAGTCAGATCAAGCATGGATTACTTACTAACTTCCCAAATAAAATGTCATAAAAACAAACATCTACATCTTTCAATCTTTGGAACAATTTTTAAAAATCTGTTTGTAGAGACAGGGCCTCACCATATCAACCACAGTGGTCTCAAACTCTGGCCTAAAGTTATCCTCCCACGTCAGCTTCCCAAAGTGTTGGAATTACAGGTGTAAGCCACTGCGCCTGACCCTTTGGAATAATTACTTCATGCTTTATATCCATGTGTTAAAAAACCTGTTGGCAGCAGTTGGTGATACAATCAGAGATGAATAGCTGCTAATTAAGCACCCTTTTCTGTAGATTTTATACCAGAAGGAGGTCATTGAAAATGAGTGCACATTCTACTGGCTCAACTCTTTTGAGAACAGTGAATATCTTAGACTAAAGGTTATATATAATTTGGAAGTACCCATTCAGTCTAAAAGTAAAAACCTCATTTTTCACAATTATATAATATCAAAATGCTGTGGTATATTAGAATTTTGTTGAAATTGAAGCCTAGAACAATATTAAACGTAAAGAATGGTAGTGGGTATCATTTAAAAAGCTCATTTATTTTCCTTGATTTTTGTTAACATCTTGGTTCAAGATCTTTCTGCGTTTTTATCACCCTTCTGCCTTTTCTTTTGCTAAGTTCATAAATAGCTCCTGTTCTCCTTGCTTTCTGCCACACTCTTTTGATCATGTTCCCTTAGAGATACCACAGGTTAAAAGAAAGCTGCTATAATTATGAATGAAATTGAGATTCCTTCAGCTCACTTTACTGTGAATTGTCAATGTATTTGCTGCAATGTGTTAAATGACAAATTCTCTGAGACCTTTATAAATATAAAATTTCAGATTTTCGAAATCTGAATGCAAGGTTTGGAAATAATATGTTTAAGAGGTTGTTTGTTTATTTAATAAAATACCATTTTTCCCTCCTTCTCTTCCTCTTTTGTGAGTCTTGGAGTATTGAGCTCCTATGTCTGCTCCTGGCAGAAGGCAGGGATAAGTAGATCAGAAAGAGGCTGTTGATAGAGAAATTTCCTTCACAATCTAGATAATTTGTTAGTAGGCTCCATTGTCCTGGCGGAATTTAAACTGTGTTTAGCTCTTAAAGTCCTATCTAATTATTTGGGCGTATATTATGCTGAACTTGGCCTTTGAGAAAAGGAATATAGAAATTTCACTGTAACAAATTAGTATTCTACAAAGAAGTATTGCTTATAATATAAATAAGTTCAACTCAAAATGCTTTAGGTTTTTTTCCCTGGGAGAAAAATGCTCTACTTTCCAAACCTCAGTCATATTTTTAATTCTGGATGATTTTTTTTTAATTTTCAGTAGTTTTATTTCTAAGTCATTTAACTGTATTCCTTGACACTACTGACCTATAGCAACATCAGACATTTCTGTGACTGATAAACACTTGAGAAGCTCACTGATTTCTTTTTGCTGTAAGATGTGGCTGATAAACACTTGAGAAGTTCACTCGTTTCTTTTTGCTGTAAGAAGACCTCCTACTATTTTCTTCTTTTCCCCTCAAGCTTCATTGAGATATAATTGACAAATGAAAATTTTATATATTTAATAGTGTACAACATGATGTTTTGATATATATATATATATATATATATATATATATACATACACTGTGAAATGATTACCATAATCAAGTTAATTATCATATCTATCACCTCACAGTTACCAGTTTTTCCTCACATGTCATTATAACAGAATTTTATTAGTAATCATCAAACACACAGTGTTCAAATTTCACCGACTGTCTCATAAAATCTTATACAATTGATTTGTCAAGGCTTATGTATTGTGATTGATTGAGGTGTCTCTTATGTCTAGTTGAATCCATAGGTTTTTTCCTTTTTTTTCTTGCAATGTATTTTTTAAAGAAGTCAGGTAGTTTCCTGCATTTTGAATTTTGCT